AGCCCGGCCCTGCCCTGCGCGCCCGCCCCGCAGTGAGGCGGTCGTGGGCCCGCGTCCTCCGGAGCCCGGCGCTCCTCCCCGGCGCGCTCCGTTGCCTTGGGCGTGGTTTGGAGAGCGAGGGTCGCAGGGGACGGAGGAAGGCTTGGAGATAGTTGACGCAACTGAACGGAGCTGGTCTGAAGAGCAGTTACCATTTCGTGTTTTGAAGTGCTGGGGTAGAATCCAGGGTCCTGCACGTGCTGGGCAGGTACTTTACCACTGAGCCACACCTGCAGCCTTAAAGCTGAGTGTGTGCGCGCACCAGTGCCAGCCCTGAGTCTTGAACTCACAGCCTCATGCTGCCCCTGAGCCTTGTGCAGCTTCACTTCTGGAGATGAGAGTCTCACAGACTTTCTTTTCCCAGCTTGGCTTTGAAAAGAAATCCTAAGAGCTCAGCTTCCTGAATAGCTAGGATTTACCGGCTGGAGAGGCACCGGCACCTAGCAATGCTGATACTTTATTTATTTATTGTCAGTCGTGGGAGCTGAACTCTGGGCCTGGGCGCTGTCCCTCAGCTCTTCAGCTCAAAGCTAGTGCCCTACCACTTGGGCCACAGCACCACTTCTGACTTTTTTCTGCTTATGAGGTGCTGAGGAATCAAACCCAAGGCCTCATGCATGCTAGGCAAGCACTCTACCACTGAGCCACCTTCCCAGCCCAAATGCTGACATTTTAAAATACAATGTTATTCCTCTCTCGTATGATATATATAGCTGTTCCTTGTTACATCCTCCATCTCTGAGAATCTTCTCTTCCCTAAATGCTTCACTCTCTGCCTTCTAAAGTAAGGTGGGCGAGGGGAATTCTAGCTGTTTGTCCAGGATGTAGCCCCAGTGCTCAGCCCTTGACCGCAAGCAGAATGGGTTTACTGTCCTTGTCCCAGCTTGATGGCTCTTCAACATGTCTGTCTCCCTCCCCCAGCTTATTTTGTAAAGTTCTCAAGAGCCAGGACAGTGACTTCAACTCCAGAGCGTGAAGATAGTGACCTGCTTTGCACATCTGTCCACCTTGGGTTTTCTCCAGTAGGACCTGGCCCCAAAGGTACCTCAGAGCCTTAATTATAACCTTACCTGCACGTGGTCCCAGTGCCCCTGGGCACTGGGGAACACCAGTGCTGTGTTGCAGGGCCAACACTCTTCTCCCAGATTTGTTCACTTCTCCAATTAGGGCAATACAACTGATGGTACTCATGGGAAGGGTTATCTTTCTCTCTGTCCCCACACGTAAGGACAGATCACATAGATACTCCTTACGTTTCCCAGGGCTTCTCCAAAGGGTTGATCTCTGTGGGCTTTGTCTGCTACCACCCAGAAACAACCTCAGGAAACCAGAACATTGAAGCCAGCGATTTCTGTTTGGAAATAGGGTCATCTTCTGCTGCTGACCTCCATCAAATCCCATCATGCCCACAGCCCTATGCCCCCGAGTCTTGGCTCCGAAGGAAAGTGAGGAGCCCAGGAAAATGAGAAGTCCTCCTGGAGAGAACCCTACCCCCCAGGGGGAGCTTCCCAGCCCCGAGTCTTCCCGCCGCCTATTCCGCCGATTCCGCTACCAAGAGGCTGCAGGCCCCCGGGAGGCTCTGCACCGCCTCTGGGACCTGTGCCGGGGCTGGCTGCGAATGGAGAGGCACACCAAAGAGCAGATCCTGGAGCTCCTCGTGTTGGAGCAGTTTCTAGCCATCCTGCCATGGGAGATCCAGAGCTGGGTGCGTGCCCAGGAGCCCGAGAACGGCGAGCAGGCTGTGGCTGCAGTGGAGGCACTGGAACGGGAGCCAGGGAGGCCCTGGCAGTGGGTGAGCAGGGCCGGGCTGGGGGAAGGAGAACCTGGTCAGATAGCCTGGGGTCAGGGTTTTGGTAGGGGTAGTTCTGTCTAGAGGTATGACCTTTAATATCAGGCCCAGATTGAGTCTGGTTTCTGAGGAAAGCAAATTTTACTTGCTAAGGGGTCTGATTTAGGCATGGTCCTGGCATCCTCCTGAAAGCCTTGTCCAAGGTTCAGGTTGGCATGGTCATCGGACTTCGGGCCGAGGCAGAGCCTGTTGGCTGAGCCTTGCCCAGGGTCCTCTCTACCTAGCCTTGAATAACTCTGGGATTGCAGCTGAAGCACTGTGAAGACCCTGTGGTGATCGATGATGGGGATGGCCCCCCGGACCAAGAGCAGGAGCGTTTGCCAGTGGAACCCCAGAGTGACCTCACAAAGAGCCAGGACGCTCAGCCCGCAGCCTTGGCACAGGGCCTGGGGTTCCTAAGTAGACCACCAGGACAGCTCTGCGAAGATCCAGGTACGCAGTCCATAGAATGCGTGTGTGGGGTGGCGGGAGGGACCATCTGGCACATACATACTTCTCCTGAGGAAACGGGAGAGTTACAATGGTCTGACCTTCCCTAAAACTATTGAATGAGAAGTTCACAAAGTTGTGGGGTCTCACCTATTGGAGAATGTACCTCTTATGGACTTTGTCAGTGAAGACAGCCAGGGACTGCTCCTATAAGCCAAGGCCTGTGGCCTGAGCTGGTCACATCCTTTCCTTTGCTAAGCAACTTTGGTTCACAGGTTCAATATGAATTCCAAGACTGGCCTGATCAGTGACCTCTGCATCATAGGGCCCTAGACACCATGAGCTGGGGCTTTGTGTGTCTCCACCGAGTGCACCAAGGCATGGCAGATGGATCTGTCCCCAATATGCTGGATTCTGAGTCTCACAGGGGTGACCTGAACCCTTCAGGCTCATTTTCTTCTGTCCAATGGAGATAGTAGTCATCCGTTATTTCCCCCTTTTTCTTTTTTAGTGGTGCTGAGATTTGACTCAGGGCATCATGCTTGCTAGATTGGCCTTCAGCTCTTTGGTCCATACCTACAGCCCTCCTTTTCACCTTTTTTGGTTTGTTTATTTTTGGCTTGAACTTGGGGCCTAGGCACTGTTTCTGAGCTGCTTTGGCTTGAGGCTAGCAGCTCCACTTCTTTTTTATTTTTGGGTCCGGTTGTGGGGCCTGAACTCTGGGACTCTGGGCCTGGGTGCTGTCCCTCAGCTCTTCAGCTCAGGGCTAGCACTCTACCGCTTGAGCCACAGCGCCACTTCCAGCTTTTTTCTTTTTGCTTATGTGGTGCTGAGGAATCAAACCCAGGGCCTCAGGCATGCAAGGCAAGCGCTCTGCCACTGAGCCACCTTCCCAGCCCCAGCAGCTCCACTTCTGGCTTTGTGTGTGTGTGCCAGTCCTAGGGCTTGAACTCAGGTCTTGGGCACTGTCCCTGAACTTCTTTTCTTCTCTTCTCTTTTCCTCTCTCTCTTTTTTTTTTTTCTTTTGGTTGTGGGGCTTGAACTCTGGGCCTGGGCGCTGCCCCTCAGCTCTTCAGCTCAAGGCTAGTGCTCTACCACTTGAGCCGCAGCACCACTTCTGGTGGCTTTTTCTCATGCATGCAAGGCAAGCGCTCTACCACTGAGCCACCATCCCAGCCCACTCCTGGGGCTTGAACTCTGGGCCTAACTGCTATCCCTGCACTTTTCAGCTCAAGGCTAGCTCTCTACCACTTGAGCTACAGTGCCACTTCCGGTTTTCTGGTGGTTTATTGATTGGAGATAAGAGTCTCACGGACTTTCTTTGCCTGGGCTGGCTTTGAACCATGACCCCCAGATCTCAGCCTCCTGAGTAGCTAGGATTACAGGTGTGAGCCACGGGCGCCCGGCAGTACTGTGCTTTTTCAAGCGGGGGCCACCCTGTGATGTTTGAGGTTATTGGTTCCGGGATACTCCAGTCCAAAACCCAGGGACACATTCATTCCTTTAGTAAAATTGCATAGTATTTGCATAATGTAGGCATATCTCCCCATGCTTTAAATCATTTCTGAGTTATTCATAATGCCTAATACAGTGTAAATGCTCGGTAAGTACTTGAAGAGTTACTTACGTTCAGTATAGACCTAGTTCTGTTGTCCTCTTTTTGTCTAAATGCATTTGAGCTGTAGTTAGTTCAGTTGGGCTGATTAGCCAACTTGACGGGAAGTTGTGCTTTTAGGTCGAAGAGTGATGTGGCCTGTTTGTCTGGCTAGATTGCTCTGTACTTAACAGTGGAGAATTTGGAGACAAAAGTGCATTATTGTTATTTGTGGAAGTTGTCCAGGACATTGTAATGTTTTTCAGTGGCCTAGGAGGGGAGCTAAGTGGTAGAGCATTTGTGTAGCATATGGGAGACACTAAGTTTGTTTGTTTGTTTGTTTTGTTGGTCATGGGGCCTGAACTCTGGGCCTGGGTGCTGTCCCTCAGCTCTTCAGCTCAAGGCTAGCACTTTCCCACTTGAGCCATAGCACCACTTCTGGCTTTTTCTGTGATTAATTGGAGATAAGAGTTTTGTGGACTTTCCTTCCCAGGATGGCTTTGAACAGTGATCCTCAGATCTCAGCCTCCTGAGTAGCTAGGATTGCAGGCGTGAGCCACTGGCTCACTTGTGATTTATTTTATTTTGTGTCAATACTGGGGCTTGAACTCAAGGCCTGGGTGTGGCTTCTGAGCTTTTCTGCTCAAGGCTAGTGCTTTACTGTGTGAACCACAGCTCCACTTCGGCTTTTTGGGGTAATTGATTGGAGATAAAAGTCTCAAGGAGCCAGGTGCTGGTTGGCTCACACCTGTAATCCTAGCTACTCAGGGGTTGAGATCTGAAGATTGTGGTTTGAAGTCAGCCTGAGCAGAAAAGTTCATTGCCTTTTTTTTTTAAGTTGTGAGGATTGAACTCAGGACCTGGGTGCTGCCCCTGCATCTCTGTGCTCAAGGCTAGTGTTCTACCATTTGAACCACAGGACCACTTCTGTTTTTTGAGTATTTTATTTGAGATAAGAGTCACCTGGGGACTTTGCTCCCTGAGCTGGCTTCGAACCATGATTCTCAGATCTCAGCCTCCTGAGTCGCTAGGGTTACAGGTGTGAGCCACCAGTGCCCAGCTAGTGACACTGTTACCTACACACACAAATTGGAAGTGGAGCTATGGCTCAACACATAGAGTGCAAAAGCTGAGAGACAATGACTAGGCCCAGAGTTCAAACCCCAAGACCAGCCAAAAAAAAAAAAAAGCGAGTCTCAGTGGGCTTTCCTGCCCAGGCTTCCCTCAGATCTGTCTCCTGAGTGGATTACAGGTGTGAGTCACCAGCATTCAGCTCCATCTATGGGTTTTGAGTCAGCAGGGTCAGCACTAATGATTACCACAGAGCCTAGAACAAGCTACCAATCAGAATTACCTTCTTTCTGATCATGAAGTTCTTTCAAAAATGCTAGACTTTGTTTTGCCTTCTAACATGACATCCAGAGTGTGACACTCAAAAGTGACCTTGTATTATCAAGGCCATGGTAGTTGGTCTGTCTGCAGGAGCAGAATTAAAATATCTCCTGTAATCCCACTCAGCAGGCTGACATCTGAGGATCATGGTTCAAAGCCAACAGGTGTAGACAACTCTGACTCTCTTACCTCCAATTAACTACCAAAAACTGGGAGAGGAGCTGTGACTCAAGTGCTAAACTCTTTGGTGAAAAAATAAGGTATAGTGCCCAGGCCTTGTGTTAAAAAATGAATGAATGAATAAGTAAGCAAATAAAATAACCCTTCTAGCTGGGCATGTAGTTCAAACCCATAATTAGAGCTACTTGGGAGATGGAGATTGTTGGATCATTGGAACTTTTCTTCTGAGCCCTGATTAGAGTTTGAGTATGATCTCAGCCGATGGCTTGGTATAGTGGTGTTTGCCGAAGAGGCATAGTGGCTGAGCACAGTGGCAGGCACATGTCACCCTAGTGACATGGAGAAGGGTCACAGCCCAAGCTACCCTGGACAAGAAATGAAATGTTACTTCAAAAATAACCAATGTGGGCTGGGAAGGTGGCTCAGTGGTAGAGTGCTTGCCTTGCATGCATGAGGCCCTGGGTTCGATTCCTCAGCACCACATAAGCAAAGAAAAGAAAAAACCCGGAAGTGGCGCTGTGGCTCAAGTGGTAGAACGCTAGCCTTGAGCTGAAGAGCTGAGAGACAGCACCCAGGCCCAGAGCTCAGGCCCCACGACTGACAAAAAAAAAATAAATAACCAATGCACTGGGCACCAGTGGCTCGCTCACACCTGTAATCCTAGCTACTCTGGAGCCTGAGATCTGAGGATTGCTGTTCAAAGCCAGCCCTGGCTTTGAACCCATAAACCACCAGAAAACCAGAAGTGGCACTGTGGCTCAAGAGGTAGAACACTCACCTTGAGCTGAAGAGTTCAGGAACCGCGCCCAGGTCAAGAGTTCAAGCACCACAACTGACCAAAAAACAAGCAAAAAATAGCCAATGCAACTGCTGTATATCACCTCTAAAATAACAATAAATTAAAAAACAAACCAATAATCCAAGTGGTGGTGGCTCACACCTGTAATCATACTCTCAGAAGGCTGAGATTTGAGGTTTGTTTGAAGCCTGTCATTCAGGAAAGTTATCAATGCATAAAGGAGCAGAGAAGGCCCAGTGTTCGGGCCCCACACCCGACAAAAAAACCCAAAAAACTTGAGAGGTCTGTATAGCACAGAGGCCATAGATTGAATGCAAAATGATCTCATCATAAAAAATGATGTTAGGTGAGGTGATGGGTATGTTAGCTGGATCAGTCATCTCACTTTGTACTTACTGTTTTGTACATAGTTTTTGTACTCAAAACATGTTCTTGGCCAGGTGCCAGTGGCTTATGCCTGTAATCCTAGCTACTCAGGAGGCTGAAATCTGAGCATTAGCATTGAGCTGAAGAGCTGAGGGACAGTTCAAGGCTAGCGCTCTACCACTTGAGACACCGCACCACTTCCAGCTTTTTTCTTTTTGCTTATATGGTGCTGAGGAATTGAACCCAGGGCTTCATGCATTTTAAGGCAAGCGCTCTACTACTGAGCCACCTTCCTAGTCCCAGCTCCCCCAATTTTAGTCTGATATCATCACACCCAGTGCCTTGTGCACAAGACATAAACACTCTACTACTGAACCCTCTGTCAGGAGGCCTTTGGAAGCACATTATTTTTACCTAGTTGAACCTTGACCAGGTAAGGAGCTCATGAGGGAAGTGAGATGGTTCGAAAGTCGCACTCCGAGCCTAGGTGACGGGGCTGGTCTTGGCCAGTGCTCTTCCAGGGTATCTGACAGAAACTGCTGGCACTTTTCCCTCCCTTCTCTTGCTCCCCTTTTCACCACTTTTCTTTCTCTGTCCTCCTACCCTCTTTTCCTTATTACCCTTTCTCCTCCCTTTTTTCCCCCTTCTGGAGCTGGTGCTACTCAGGGCCTCATTCTCATTCCCACTCAAAAGGCTTGGCACTCTTCTGCTGGAGCCACAGCTCCACTTCTGGCTTTTTTGTGGTTAATTAGAAATAAAGTCTCATACTCTTCTGCCTGTGCTGATTTCCAGCCACCACCCTCAGATCTTGAGTAGCTAGGAGTAGAGGCATGACTCACCAGCACCCAACCGGTGAGTTTGGTTTTTCAAGATTTTTATTAATTTTTTAGTACTAGGGTTTGAACTCAGGGCCTCATGCTTCCTGGACAGGGCTCTACCAGTTGAGATATGCCTCCCAGTTCTTAATTAGCTTTCAGGTAGAGTCTGATGTTTTTGCCCAGAGCCAGCTAAAGCCTCTACACATAAGATCATGTGGCATTTGTCTATCTGAAGCATGTTTCAAATAGTATAATGTCCCCCTGCTTCATCTGTGTGGTTACAAATGATGTGTCCTTATTAGTGAAGGCAGAACAGTAGCACTCCATTGTGTATACAGACCAGTTTTCTTCATCTGGTCACCAGCTATAGGGTACCTGGGCTGGTTCCACTCCTGAGTTATTGAAAGTTCTGCAGTGAACATGAATGGAGACTCATGGGGGGATTATTAGATCATCGGGGAACTCTGGTCTTCACCTTTTCTCTAATGGCTGAGGTCTATGTTGTTACTGGTAATGGACAAGGGTTCTTTATCTCCCATCCTCAGATACCGTCTTTGCCTGGAGCTCTGGAGTACACAAACTTACAGGTATTATGTAAACTTTTGTGACAACCAGGGGTCCCATGTTGACTTATTCCCTTCAGTCCTTATTGACATTTTTTTCTTTCTTTTCTTTTTTTTGGTTGGTCTGTGGCTTGAACTCAGTGTCTAGGCTCTGTCCCTGAGTCTCTCTATGCTCAGAGCTAGTGCTCTACCCCTTGAGCTATAGCTCCACTTCCAGCTTTTTCTGTGGTACTGAGGAGTTCAGCCCAGGGCTTCATGCATGCTAGGCAAGCACTCTACCACTGAGCCACATTTCCAGCCCTGCCACTTTATTTTCTACTTATTTGTTGGCTTATTTTGTGTGCCATTCCTGGGGCATAAACTCAGGGCCTGGACACTGTTCCTGAGTTTTTTTATTCAAGGCTGGCCACAGTGCTGCTTCTGGCTTTTTTGGTGGTCAGTTGGAGATAAGAGTTTCACAAACTTTCCTGCAGGGGCTGGCTTAGAACCATTGTTTTCAGAACTTCTTGTCCTGAGTAGCTAGGATTACAGGTGTAAGCCTCCAGTGCCCAGCTTGTTTTCCCTGTATTTTAGACAACAAAACTGAAGTCCTTTGGCTGGGAGTGTGGCTTAGTATTAGAGTGCTTGCTTAGCATGTATGAAGTTCTGGGTTCGATTCCTCAGTACCACATAAACAGAAAAGGCCAGGCAGTGCCCAGGCCTTGGTTCAAGCCCCAGAGCTGGTGCCTAGGTGAGGTCAGGGAGCTAATTATATCTAATGCAGGCATCCTTGTGGTGGCCAAGATGCTTTGGTTTGCAAAGTGTTTTTCCTGTGCTGCTTATCCTCCAGGTGAGGACTTTTAGGAGAAGCACCAGGAATGTCTTGCTATTGGTTCTCTCACTTGAAATCTCTGTTTGCAAAATTGGAAGTAGCTAAGCCTGAGGAGCCCACAAAGTGGAGAGCCAGGCCGGGCTCCCTTCAGCATCATGTTTCTGATCTCTTTCAGTTCCTCAGGACGTTGTCCTTCAAGAGGAAAGCATGAGAGATGCCCAGCAGGTGACCACCTGCCACCTGCCCCCGGTGAGTAATGGCTGTACAGTCCTTGAAAACCTGGCATTGGCCTCTCTGAACGACACCACAGGGCAGGGGAGCTTCCTGGAACCCCAGCCACTTTGCTGGTGGCCATATTAGATGTTTAGCCCCAGCCCAAAAAAATGAACATGAGCAGGACTGAGCTACGGTGCTACCTTGTGCAGACAGATGGCAGAGCACAGTGGCCAGGAGTCCTAAGCTATGGACCTCGGAGGAGAAGACCAGAGCTTAGTTTAGTTTTGTTTTTTTCTTGATGGTCATGGGGTTTGAACTCTGGGCCTGGGCACTGTCCCTGAGCTTTACTCAACGCTAGTGCTCCACCAGTTTTCTGGTGGTTATTTGGATATAAGAGCCTCACAGACTTTCCTGCCTGGCTGGCTCTGAACCTCAATCCTCAGATCTCAATGTCCTGAGTACCTAGCATTATAGGATTGGGCCACCAGTGCCCAGCTTAACACATAGGTTCTAGTAAATCAGTGCTTTCTGGTTACTCTGTTGAAGATATAGTTGTACTGGCTTTGGGGCTTGATCTCGGCCTGGCAACTGTCCCTGAACTTCTTTTTGCTCAATGCTAGCACTCTACCATTTGAGTCACTGTTCCACTTTTACCTCTTTCTGGGTAGTTTATTGTAAATAAGAGTCTTATGGGCTAGGAATGTGGCTTCTTGCCTAGCACTGTCCCTGAGCTTATTATTTTTTTTTGTCAGTCATGGGGCTTGAACTCTGGGCTTGGGATCTGTCCTTGCGCTCTTCAGTTCAAGGCAAGCGCTCTACTGCTTGAGCCACAGTGCAACTTCCGGTTTTCTAGTGGTTTATTGGAGATTAGAGTCTCACGGATTTTCCTGCCCGGGCTGGTTTTGAACCATGATCCTCAGATCTCAGCCTCCTGAGTAGCTAGGATTACAGGTGTGAGCCACCAGCGCCCGGCAGCCTCTGAGCTTCTTTTACTCAAGGCTAGCACTTTACGACTTGAGCCACAGTGCCATTTCTGGCTTTTTATTTTGTTTTGTTTTTGAAGAATGGAACCCAGGGCTTCATGCATGCTAGGCAAGCCCTCTAACCACTAAGCCACATTCCCAACCCTTTCTTTTTTGTTGGCTGTAGGGCTTGAACTCAGGACCTGGGCACTGTGCCTGAAGCTTTTCATTCAAGGCTAGTGGTCTACCACTTTGAGCCACAGCTTGTTTTCTGGTGGTTAATTGGAAATAAAGAGTCTCACAGTCAGTCCTGTGGCTTAGACCTGAGATCTGAAGATCGTGTTTGAAGCCAGCATGGACAGGAACATCCCGGAGAGACTTATCTCCAATTAAGCACTCAAAACCTGGAAGTGGTGCTGAGGCTCAAATGGTAAAATGCCAACCTTGAGCACAAAGAGGCTCAGAGGCAGCGCCCATGCCCTGAGTTTTTTCCGTTCTTTTTGAAATCTCTTTTGATTCTTGATAAAAATGTGAGATTTTTTTTCTCTTGAAACTTAGCCTGTAGCCTTGTGATCTTACTCAAACCCTCAGTTTGTTGCTGGTGGATACTCAGGAGGCTGAGATCTTAGGTGTGTGGTTCAAAGCCATCTGGGCAGGAAAGTGTGTGAGGCTTATCTCCAATTAACCACTGAAAAGCTGGATACAGCGCTGTGGCTAGAGTGGTAGAGCATTAGTTTTGAGAACAAAAGCTCAGGGTCAGCACCCAGTCCCCAAGTTTAAGCCCCTAGGTCTAGTTCATAAACACACACAGGCACATACTCATTCTTACTTTTAATGGATAAGACCATTTTAGATAATCTAAAACACAAAAGGACTGATTTTTGGGTTGCACAATCAAAATTGCCAAGAACAAAATTATTACAGTAATAATAAACTAATCATAGCAAGATGAGGAGCTTGGAGCTCTGAAGAGCTCCTCTGGACTTGAGCTGTCAGTAGCCTGAGGCCTCTGCTGGACCATTTCACCTGGTCTTGAGAAAATGCCCTTGCGTTTGGCTGCCCAGGTGTCACCTCTGGAAAGGACCTGGTTTCCAGCAGGGCTGTCTTTTCTGGTATGCAGAGCCAGCAATGTCATTCTTTTTTCTTTTTGACATTCTTTTCTTTTTTCTGTTGGTGGTGGGGCTTGAGCTTTGTCCGGGTATTGTCACTGAGCTTTTTGGCTCAAGACTAGTGCTCTATTACTTTGAGCGACAACTCTACTTCTAGTTTTCAGGTGGTTAATTGGAGATGAGAGTCTCATCTGGACTTTCCTGCTTGGGTTGACTTCAAGCTATGATTATCAGATCTCAGTCTCATGAGTCGCTAGGATTTCAGGCAGGAGCCACTAGTGCCTGGCATGACATTTTTGAGCCAAAAGGCAGGCCCTTGCAAGAGACCTATTCTGCTGGTGCCTTGATCTTGGATTTTTTGCTTCTGGAATTGACATAATTGCTGTTTAGAGGCCACTGAGTCTATATATTTTTGTTTGTTTGTCTGTTTTTGCTGGGCCTGGGGCCTGAACTCTGGGCCTGGGCGCTGTCCCTCAGCTCCGTAGCTCAAGGTGAGCATCCTACCACTTGAGCCACAGCGCCACTTCCACTTTTTTCTGCTTATGTGGTGCTGAGTAATCAAACCCAGGGCCTCATGCATACGAGGCAAGCGCTCTACCACTGAGCCACCTTCCCAGCCCTCTGTAGTGTTTGTTCATAGCACCCTGAGTGGACTAAGATACTTAGGTCATCCCTAGATTGAGACCTTCTGTTCTCCTGTGGTTTCAGAACCGGGTTTCTCCATTTAAGGACATGATCCTATGTTTCTCTGAAGAGGACTGGTCCCTTCTAGACCCTGCCCAGACTGGTTACTATGGCGAGTTCATCATTGGAGAGGACTACGAGGTCTCAGTGTCTCCAAGTAAGACCTAACTCCTATGCCCTCTGAGACAGGGACCTGGCAGGGGTCTTGCCCTGAGTCAGTGACTTCCTCCTAGAAGGTCAGGACACTGGGCACTGCCTCCAGTCTTACTGCTCACCTTTCAGCCTTGAGAGGAGGCCCTGTGTGCGGGGTCCCACAGCTGCATTTCTCTGCACTTGTAGGCCAGGCTTCCCAGTCTGTTCTAGAAACCAGTTATGACATTGTAGCATTTCTGTTCTTCAACCATTGTTACCCCGTCGCCTTTTCCAGCTCTGAGAGCTGCCTGGGCTGGGCTGTCCCTCCGGGGTGCTGCCTCCGCTTGGACTTCCCACACCTCTCAGTCCCTCCTGGTCCCTGACTGTGGGTGAGTCTCACACTGGACCAAGCCCTGATGGCCTGCAGGAACAGGTCACAAATCCAGGTGTGTCCTGCGCCTTTCTAAACAGATGAAGCACCAGCCCAGCCAGATCTTTCCCAGGGAGAGGAGAGCGAGCCACGGGTTCCAGAGTTTCAGGACCTCCAGGGCAAAGAAGGGCCTCAGGTCCCCCACTTGGGTGAGTATGATCCAGAAGTGGTGGTGTAAAGGGAGAGCTGGGCTGTTCCCTCATCATTTTCCCAAGCCTCCCATCCACATCCCTTCACTCTGTCTTAGAGATGGTTCAGGTCTTGTCTTGTCCTTGGCTTCCTTTTTTATTTTATTTGCCAGTCTTGGGGCTTGAGCTCTGGGCCTGGGCACTGTCCCTCAGCTCTTCAGCTCAAGGCTAGCGCTCTACCACTTGAGCCACAGCACCACTTGTGGCTTTTCTGTGTGTGTATGTGATACTGAGGAGTTGAACCCAGGGCTTCATGCATGCTAGGCAAGCACTCTACCACTAAGCCACATTCCTAGCTCTGTCCCTGACTTCTTGCTGAAAGAATGGGGATCATTTCTGCCATCAACAGGGATTGTTCTCCCTTTACTAAGGGCTGAGAAATAGTGGGAATCGTTTGCCTACAAGAAGCAGCACCTGGTTTGTACTGACAAGGCCCTCTAGAAGTGAAGTCAGATGCTTGAGACAAGCCAGGCTGCTGGGGGCATCTCTTCTTGATCAAGCACTGAGCATATTAACCCCCCTGACACTTTGCTTCCTTGTGGAGGGGCCATGCTAATCTCTGTATCGTTCCAGTTTTAGTACCTGTGCTGCCGAAGCGAGCATGACACTTTGCTTCCTGCACAAGTGCTGCAGGGAGGGGCTCTGCCTTGTTTTGGTGCTCAGCTGTTGGTCTCTGCAGCTCATGTTTGTAATCCCTGTGCCGTGCTGTGAATAACTTGCCTCTTTGGAGCTTGGTGTCCAGTCAGCAACAGCCCTGGAACTCCTGCCTTGGCACCACGGTGTCAGGTTCTGGTGTACCCTCTTCATGCGGAACATGCATCCAGAGCCTCTGGTGTGGTGTGGTAGCTCCTATGCCTCCAGTCTCTGCCCCATAGACTTCATGGGCTATGTAGAGGGTCTGCAGGTCTGACTGTAGAGAACCTCATAGTTAAAGCCATTACTTGTTTGGCTACAAAGATAAACAGAACCAAGTCCTATAGTGATTCTGGCTTCAGACCCCAGATTCGTGGTATCAGCATATTTTGCCTTCAGCATTATTCACTCAGTAAATGCAGAGTGACTACTTCTTAGGCCCCAGTGGGGAGCTCCATACCCTCAACTCTCTGCCTGGCCTCTTTCCAGGCCCCAGGTAGTAGTGACAGTACAAGACAATTACTTCTCTCATTTTCTTCTTTGGAAAGACTTTCCTAGTCTTCAGCCATTCCAGGTGGAGGAAAGAAGGAGGTGGGAGGAGCTACAGGTGCCAGGTCTGCAGGCCTGCCCACAGGTGATGCTCCCACAAAGCAACTGTCCAGGTAAGGAGGGCCTTTGTGTCATGGGTGTAGGTCTTGGGAGCATGTGCAGGGGTAAGAGGTGGAATTCAGTGATCCTGGACAGTCTGGGGCCATTAAGCAACCTTAATGTGAAACAGCATTGTAGGACTAGATCACTTCAGTTGTTACTTTATAACTTGCTAAGTCATGTCACCCAGCAGTGTCCAAGCAAAGAGGCTGAGCACATGAGAAGTCTAGCATAGTCCCTGGGGCATTTCAGTGCTCGCACATGGCATGATCTTTGGCATGATCCTGACCGACTTTTGCTGTGTTTGGTTTAGTGAGGTGGCTCCTGTGCAGAGAGTCAAGGATAAATATTACACTGATAAATACTGCATCAGCTGTAGTCTCTGGCTCAGGAAGACATGAGTTGAGGGTGCGGGGTTAGGGAAAATGGCACTGAGGCCAGGAGAGAAAGGTGCCCAGGGTGCTCTGGTCTTGGTGTGGCCCAGGTGTTTCCTTCTCCAACTCCAGGGGCCTGTGCAGTGCACCTTAGGTCCCTTACGGCCACCAAGCATTGGGAAAATGAGTTTCTGCACTGCCAGCGGAGCCTTCTTGGACAGGGTCTGGGGTGAGATGTAGCCAGGACAGCACACTGACCCACCACGTTGGTTGCCTACAGCCGGAGGTGACTCGCCGCCCCTAAAGAATGGCCTCGACCAGGAAGTGACCATTGAGATCGTCCTGTCCAGCTCTGGGGAAGAGGACTCCCAGCACGGCCCGTACTGCAGGGAAGAGCGAAGGAGCAGCCCGGAGAAGCAGCTGAGCAGCGCCGAGGTCCGGGGCGAGGGGCAGGCCTCCCAGAAATCCTACGTGTGTCCAAACTGCGGGAAGATCTTCCGCTGGAGGGTCAACTTCATCCGGCACCTGCGGAGTCGTAGGGAGCAGAAGCCGCACGAGTGCTCAGTGTGCGGGGAGCTGTTCAGTGACAGCGAGGACCTGGACGGGCATCTGGAGACCCATGAGACCCCGAAGCCCTACAGGTGTGGCGTCTGTGGGAAGAGCTTCCGCCTCAACGCACACCTGCTCTCGCACAGGCGGATACACGTGCAGCCAGACAGACTCAAGCCGGTGCCGAAGAGAGAGGAGCGGGAGTCAGAGAGCGAGGGCCGGGGTCCAGAGCCCCTGCTGGAAAAGAGCAAGGCCAAGCCCAGCACACAGTGCCGTGACTGTGGGAAGGGCTTCCAGCGGCAGGACCAGCTGCTCAGGCACCGCAGCACCTTCCACCTGAAGGACGAGGGGCGTCCCTTCCGCTGCCGGTACTGTGTGAAAAGCTTCGTGCACAATTGCGACCTCCTCCGCCACGAGCGCCTGCACATGAAGCGGCGCTCCAAGCAGGCCCTCAACTCCTACTGAGCCCTCCCGGCGCAGCCACACGCACTGTGCCCCTGCCCAGGACAGAGACAGCGGCTCTTCCTGCCCTTTGCTCTCAGGTAGTGTCCAACTTCTGGTGCCATGGGAGCCCCCTTCCTCCTCCCCAGATAAGGAGAGTGGCTTGCCCAGCCTTCCTTCCCATTCTGCTGTGCCAAAAACCAGGGAAGGCATGTCACCACCAGCTTCAGCATGCTTCATATGCGTGTCGTAACGGACACCCCCCCCCCACACACCCCATCCTCCCCAGGTCAAGGGTAACTGCAGTTCCTGTCCAACTGCCAGTGGGATGATGGGCTGACAGGAAGGCCGTGGGACTGGGGCCCCAGTAGAGAGCAGGGCCAAACACTGAACTATGTCCTGTTACCAAAAGCCAGCCCCAGCCCACCCTGTCCCAGGAGCACCCCACAGGTCCCAGAGCCTTGGCAGTGGGGGATAGACACGCTCTGGCAGCCACGTGGCACGGATGGGGAGCTCATCCCAAGCAAGCTCCCGTTTAACCTCTTGCCTGTCTACTCCAACCTGCCTTTTTTTTTTTTATCCTGAAGGTCCTTAGGAAATGTGTGATAGATGCTGAGTTGCATGGCCTTTAAGTTCCTCTTCCGTTCGGTCTGGGAGTGTGTAGCTCAGCCCTGGAGTCGGGGCTCTTCTGGGCAGAAGGCCCAGTGAAGTCGTGTCCTCCATTGATGCTGACTTGGAGGTGGTTGAGTTAGTCTCCCCCCAGTATTGCAGCACAGCAGCACATGTCAGGGGACTACACTTGGACTTGGCTGCATGTCCAGGTCGGGGGTCGGCAGAGCTGGTTCTTTCTGAGGCGTCTTACCCAGACTTGCTGGTGTTTGGTCACATTACACCTTTTTCCTTCATCACCACACAGCAGTTCTCCATGTGTGTCTGTCTCCATATCTCCCTCTTGGATAAGGAAGCCAGTCCCTGGCTCAGAGCCCACCCTGCCTGTGCCACATAGCCTCATCTGTCTTTGCAGTAACCATTTCCTAGAGTCCCATTCTGAGGTACTAGGGGTCAGGACTTGAACCTTGGGATTTTGAGGACACACAGTTCAAGCCACAACTCCAACCTTATGGTACTGTTGATGGTCCTGACTCACATGAGCCAATACAAGCTTCAAGTGACTTGTTTGCCATTCCAATGACGGTAGGGTCCAAACCCAATAATTGGCATTCAGGGCTGCTGTTGTCAGGATGGAAGAATCTTCATCCGTAGCCTTTAAAGGTCGAATCCTCGGGGTCTGGACTGTGAGTGACAGACAGTTGGTAGTAAAACCTCAAACAATCAACAACATGGTCTTAATTATCCTGACAGACTGGTGAAGTGGGCCAGGCTTCGTGAGGAGGCATGGAGGCTTGGGTATAGCTGCGGCGGGCCTGACACTAGTGAGACAGGAAGCCTGGGAAGATGAACTTGAGGCTCCTGGTGCTCTTTGTCACTTGATTTTCACTTCAAGAAGCCTCTACCCCAACCCAATGAAAGAGTTATATGATTTTATAACTAAATTTCTATTTCTGAGTAGCTGCATCTATATGCCCAGGAATAGTAAATGCAATAAAATTATTTGGTCTTAACTTGGAACAAGGAATAAACTGCTAAATGTCTGGTTTCTAAATAGTCTTTTCTTGTGTTGATACACCTGGAAAGGGGAGTAACTTTATTATAAAGGTGATGTACATATGGATATAACTGTTCTTAAGGCCAGTTCAGGACAAAATTCCAAACAGTGCTGGCTCTTATTTCCCCTTAATGCTTAAGACATTTGTCTGTAAGGGAACATAGGTATATTTTACATGTGAGGTCAGATCATAAAGCCATGAAACAAATGTAATAGAACTAGAGCCAAGAGGAGGCCTCTGTATCTTGAGTCCCCATAAAATACAGCAGACACGCTCTTTCTCACCCCCTGCCTCACATCCAAAGGTAACAAAAGAACCTGGAAAGCGAAGTTACATTGGAAGCTCTCCTGGGTGGTGCAGCCCAACACAGGTATATCCCATGTGGGGGCAATGGGGGTTATTCTCCCGCTGTCTGGCAGAGCCAGGCACCGTCTATAGTCCTAGCTACTCAGGAGGCCGAGATAGTTCAGAGGCAGTTAGGACCAGGAAAAGTTCATGAAACTTGAAAAAGTAATTTTTTCCAGTTGCAGGACTTGAACTCAGGGCCTGGGTACATTCTTGGAGCTCTTTTGCTCAAGGTTAGAGCTCTACTACTTTGAACTACAGCACCATTTCTGGTTTTAGTAAATTGGAGATGAGTGTCACAGACTTTCCTGCCTGGGCTGGCATTGAACTTTGGTCCTCAGATCTCAGCCTCCTGAGTAGTTAGGATTACAGGGGTGAACCACGGACACCCAGCTATGACTTGGCTTTTTCCTCTCAGGGCTGACACTTTTACCACTTGAGACATAACTCCACATCTGGCGCTGTGTGTGTGTGTGTGTGTGCGCGCGCGCGCGCATGTGAGCGCGCGAACTGGTACTGGGGCTTGAACTCAGGACTTGGATACTGTTACTTAGCTGGTGCTTTGCCTCTTGAATCACAGTTCTACTTCCTGGTTTTTGTCATTTAATTGGACGAGTCATGTGCTTTCTTCCTGGGGCTGGCTTTGAACCATGATCACATGGCAAATTCCAGGTTTTTTTTTTTTGCCAGTTAATTGGGTATAAAAGTCTCAATTTTTATGCCCAGGCTGGCTTCAAACCACACAAATGGGAGTTAAAAGACTCAAAATCACAGCTCCTTCTGCAGGCTTTGTACTTACTGAGTTAGGCTAAAATGACTGGCCTCTTATTTAGCAAGAGTTCAGGTTAAGATGGGTCAGGCCTACTCTAAATGCCTTTCATTGTTTCTGTGACTAACCATTCAAGAAGAATTCCTAGGCTTTTACTATGTCAAAGGATATTTTAGCATAACTAAAGGAAGTAGGGAGAAATAAAAACGAACATTTTCTGAATTCCACACAAAATGGTGGCTTTCTCTGCCCTTTATTTTTATTTTGTATTGTGAACATACTGTACAGAGGGGTTACAAATAAATGGGCAAGATAATGAGTACATTTCTTATCAAGCATTGCAGCCTCCTTTGTTTACCCTTCACATCCCTTCCTAGCCTCCCCCCCCTTTCTTTACTACTACTATGGCTCAATTTCCTTTTTCTGTCAGTCCTGGGGCTTGAACTCAGGGCCTGGACATTGTCCCTGAGCTTCTTTGCCTAAGGCTAGCACTCTACCACTTGAGTCACAGCACCACTTCTGGTTTTTTTCTGTTTATGTGGTTCTGAGGAATTGAACCCAGGGCTTAATGCATTCTGGGGCTGGCCAAGAATACCGTCCTTGGCTTCCAAGAGACCATAGCCCATATTTTGTTTTCTGCTTCCTAGTTAAGCCCTGTATAAATAAGACCATCTCAAAATCTACTCCCTTGGACAACCTCCAAACCCACAGGAAGGTCTGTGCTAATCACTGGTAATAAAGAGCCCTAGTCTGGGGGCTGGGAAGGTGGCTCAGTGGTAGAATGCTTGCCTTGCATGCATGAGGCCCTGGGTTCGGTTCCTCAGCACCACATAAGCAGAAAAAGTCGGAATTGGTGCTGTGGCTCAAGTGGTAGGGCGCTAGCCTTGAGCTGAAGAGCTGAGGGACAGCGCCTAGGCCCAGAGCTCAAGTCCCATGACCAACAACAACAACAAAAGAGTCATAGTCTGTTGATGACCAAGTCTGGCCTATTTCCTTTCCTGTTCTCCATTTTCCTAACACTGTTTCTTGCAACTGAATTCCCGAATAACACAACAGTTGTTAGCAAAGTGAGCTCCCTTCCCTTCTCCACAGTTGAGCATGCTCTCTTTCTAGGCAACACTGGGCCCACTTAGTAAAGGCAGTAAACAATCAACTTCCAATCCCCTCTACCTTGGGATGACACTCGGGCAGCTGCCACCATATAAAGCAACAAGAGCCATGAAAGTGACCTACCAGGCACCTTATCTATTTGGACGGCAGCCATAAAACCTAGTGTGCCACAATGAAGCCTCTGGCCCACATGTCCACACCAGGGTCTCCGCCTCCTAGCCCCTCCTAAACCTCCTAGGTTACACAGGTCACCCCAGACAATAGCCGGTGCTTCTTCTCACTTCTTTGTGAGAAGGGGTCTTGCTGGCCCCCTTCCTGGCATTAAACTTCTCTTTGTTCTCTGTACGTGGATGTCTATGGTTCTCTGGCAAAGTCTAATAATCTTTCAATAGTTTATTAAATGAACTTGATATTTTCAAGTGATTAATATAAATAGGGACTTTCATTGCATGTAAACAATTATCCCAGGATGTTTGTAAATTTTATGAAAAAATAGAAAGGGCTTGAAAAAATTTAGCACATTTAGTAAATGTTCTAGTTATTAATTTAATTTAGGAGCTGAATCCCTATTTTCTTTGGAGAGAAGGTACCCAAGTTTGGACACTTTTCCTTTCAGAATACTTCTTTTTTTTTTTTTTTTTTTTTGTCAGTCGTGGGGCTTGAACTCTGGGCCTGGGCGCTGTCCCTCAGCTCTTCAGCTCAAGGCGAGCGCTCTACCACTTGAGCTACAACACCACTTCCGGTTTTCTGGTGGTTTATTGGAGATAGGAGTCTTGAGGTCTCTCCTGCCCGGGCTGGCTTTGAACCGCGATCCTCAGATCTCAGCCTCCTGAGTAGCTAGGATTACAGGCCTGAGCCACCAGCGCCCGGCTTTCCTTTCAGAATACTTCTAATAAAAGGTCAAAGTGTTAGGACTGGGTCCTAACATGCAGTAAAATGCTTACCTCCAATAAACTACCAAAAAAGGTGGAAGTAGAGCTATGGCTCAAGTGGTAGAGAACTAAATTTGAGCAAAAGAAGCTTAAAGATAGTATTAGACTAAGGTCAAGCCGCAGGACTGGTATATGTGTTTGTGTGTTGTAGGAAGACTAGGTAAGCCCACCTAGTCCTGCGTAGTGAGTTGTTAATAAAGAAGCAACTTTATTGAGAAGGTTCCTTCGGGAGCTGATACTGCGACCCTGAGTGGCCAACATAGATATTTTTTTTTGGGGGGGGTCCATCATGGGGCCTGAACTCTGGGCCTGGGCGCTGTCCCTAAGCTCTTCAGCTCAAGGCTAGCATTCTACCACTTGAGCCACAGTGCCACTTCCGGGTTTTTTCTTACGTGGTGCTGAGGAATCGAACCCAGGGCCTCATGCATGCAAGGCAAGCGATCTACCA